AAGCAATTCTCTTGCCTCAACCTCCCGAGTAGCTGGGACTACAGGCACCCGCCATAATGCCCAGCTAATTTTTGGTTGCAGTTTGGCTGGGACTGGGTTTGAACCCACCACCCTCGGTATGTGGGGCCTCACTGAGCCACAGGTGCTGCCTGATTTTTTTTTTTTTTTTAAAAGAGACAGAGCCTCAAGCTGTAGCCTTGGATAGAGTGCCATGGCATCACAGCTTATAGCAACCTCCAACTTCTGGGCTTAAGTGATTCTCTTGCCTCAGCCTCCTGAGTAGCTGGGACTATAGGCGCCCACCACAGTGCCGGGCTATTTTTTTTGTTGTTGCAGTTTGGCCGGGGCTAGGTTTGAACCTGCCTCCCTCAATATATGGGCCTGGTGCCCTACTCACTGAGCCATAGGCACCGCCCCCTGTATGATTATTATTGTTATTTATTTATTTTTTTAAGTGAGTCTCTCTCTGTCGCCCTTTGTAGAGTGCCGTAGCATCACAGGTCACAGCAACCTCCAGCTCTTGGGCTTAGGTGATTGCCTCAGCCTCCTACGTAGCTGGGACTACAGCACCTGCCACAACCCCGGCTATTTTTTTTGTTGTTGCAGTTTGGCCTGGGCTGGATTTGAACCCGCCACTCTGGGCATATGGGGCTGGCATCCTACTCACTGAGCTGCCAATTTTTTAATTTTATTTGAGACAGAGTCTCAATCTGTGGCCCTGGGCGGAGTGCCATGGTGTCATAGCTCACAGCAACCTCAAACTCTTAGGCTTAAGTGATTCTTTTGCCTCAGCCTCCCAAGAAGCCGGGACTACAGGGACCTGCCCCAACGCCTGGCTATTTTTTTGTTGCAGTTGTCATTGTTTTAGGTGGCCTGGGCTGGGTTTAAACCCGCCAGCCTCTGTGTATATGGTTCACGCCCTACCCACTGAGCTAAAGGTGCTCCCTATTTTTATTTTTGAGACAGAGTTTCACTTTGTCGCCCTTGTTAGAGTGCTGTGGCTCATTGTTCACAGCAACCTCCAACTCTTGGGCTCAAGTGATTCTTTTGCCTCAGCCTCCCAAGTAGGTGGGACTACAGGTGCCCACTACAACACCTGGTTATTTTTAGAGACCGGGTCTTGTTCTTGTTCAGGCTGGTCTTGAACCCGTGAGCTCAAGCAATCCACCCACCTTGGCCTCCCAGAGTGCTAGGATTATAGGTGTGAGCTACTGCTCCCAGCCATGTATAATTAGTTTTTATAATTGATAATTCCACACATGGTATAAAATCCAAAAGGAACAAAAGGCTATATGCAGTGAGGTCCTCTTTGTGTCCTGCGGCTCTCCTGAAGGTACTCCCGCGGCAGATTTTCATGTCTCATTCCAGATGTGCTCCTTTCCTACCACACCCTCATCCTCATTTCATGTGCTTATTGACCAATAGCTTGCATTACTGCTTTTTTTCTTTCTTTTTTTTTTTTAGAGATAGAATGTCACTTTGTCATCCTTGGTAGAGTGCTGTGGCATCACAGCTCACAGCAACCTCCAGCTTTTGGGCTTAGGCAATTCCCTTGCCTCAGCTTCCTGAGTAGCTGGGACTACACGCACTCACCACAACACCCGGCTATTTTTTTGTTGCAGTTTGGCCAGGACTGGGTTTGATTGAACCCTCCACTCTTGGTATATGGGGCCAGTGCCCTACTCACTGAGCCACAGGTGCCACCCTTTAGATTTGTTTTTGATTTTGGAATATTTGCATTGTGTACTTATGGTAGAGCATCCCCAATTCAAAAGTTCAAAATTTAGAATGCTGCAATGAGCAATTACCTTTGAATGTCACTTTTTGGTGCTCAAAAGGTTTTGGATTTTGGAGTATTTCAGATTTCAGACCTTTGTATTTGAGATGCTCAACCTGTATATCATGTGCAAGTTTTTCCTCCTGTTCTGTGGTTTATCTTTTATTTTTAGTGATCTGATTCTTACTCTGTCTCCTGTGCTAGAGTGCACTGGCATCATAGCTCACAGTGATCTCAAACTCCTGGGCTCTGTTGATCCTCCAGAGCTCAGTTGATCTTCCTGACTCAATTGATCCTCTTACCTCAGACTCCCGAGTAGCTGAGACTACAGGTGCCCACCATCACACCAAAAATAGAAAAATATTTTTCTATAGAGACAGGGTTTCACTCTTGCTCAGGCTGGTCTTGATCCTGAGCTCAAGTGATCTTCCCACCTTGGCCTCTCAGAGGGCTGTGATTACCGGTGTAAGTCACTGCACCTGGCCCTGTTTTTCCTTTTGTTTCCCTTGCTTTGTTGTCATATCTAAGAAACCATTGCCAAATCCACTGTCATGAAGACATTTCCCAGTGTTTTTTTTTTTTTTCCTTTGGCCAGGGCCAGGTTTGAACTGGCCACCTCCAGTATATGGGGTCTGCGCCCTACTCCTTGAGCCACAGGCACTGCCCTCCCAGTGTTTTTCTTCTAAGAGTTTTATAGTTGTAGGTCTTTGATCCATTTTCAACTAGTTTTTGTACGTGATATAAGGTAAATTCATGCTTTGCATGTAGATATCCAGTTTTTCCAACACTATTTATTGAAAAGACTGACCTTTCCCCATTGAATGGTCTTGATACCCTTGCTGAAAGTCAAGGAGTGGACCATATATAGAAGATTTGTTTCTGGGCTCTATTCTATTCCACTGGTCTAGGCATTTCTGATGTAGTTAGCACACTTTTTATTTTTTTGAGACAGAGTCTTGCTTTGTCACCCTGGGTAGAATGCTGTGGCATCATAGCTCACAGCAACCTCAAATCGCGCTTATGCGATTCTCTTGCCCCAGCCTCCCAAGTAGCTGGGACTGCAGGCACCTGCCATAACAACTGGCTATTTTTTTGTTGTAGTAGTTGTCGTTTGGCATAAACCCACTAGCTCCAGTGTATGTGGCCTGTGCCCTAGCTGCTGAGCTACAGGCGCTGTGCCTGCACACTGTTTTAGTTATAGTGGCTTTGTTGCTTGAATGGTATCCACACTGTTTAACAACTTAGAGAGGGAGGAGTTGGTCTAATTTCCTTTGTGCTTAGGGTCTTCCTAGGCTAACAACTACTTATGGACAGGAGACAAGGGAAATTTATATAATTAAAAGATTTTTTTGGCATTTAGTCGGAGGTATAACTGTTTGATATACTGTGGGTTGGGCTTAGGAGTGGTGACATAGAAAGGATTTTTTATCTAACTTCAAGGTATTTATTTGTATTTAGTTAAATTGACTGTCAATACATTTATTTGCTCAACATTTGAATTAATTCAGTAGTGTTAATAAAAATTTGCTAAGATACTATCTTTGAAGTTTACATGATATTATTCTTTTACTACTGAGATTTCTATTGACATTGAAACTCCTTAAGTGTTTTGATAAATACAGACAGTAAACTATTGATTTCTACTTTTTTTTTTTTTTGTAGTTTTTAGCTGGGTCTGGATTTGAACCCGCCACCTCCAGTATATGGGACCAGTGCCCTATTCCTTTGAGCCATAAGCGCCGCCCTGTTTTCTACAGTTTATTAGTGTTTTCAGTCAGATACTGTTTTATTTAGGTACTTGAAAAGAACTTTTATTTTTTTGAGACAGAGTCTCATTATGTCGCCCTTGGTAGAGTGCTATGGCGTCACAGCTCACAGCAACCTTAAACTCTTGGGCTTAAGTGATTCTCTTGCCTCTGCCTCCCAAGTAGCTAGGACTACAGGCACCTGCCACAACTCCCAGCTATTTTTTTTGTTGCAGTTGTTATTGTTTAGCTGGCCCAGGCCAGTTCAAACCCACCAGCCTGAGTGTATGTGGCCTACCCACTGAGCTGTGGGTGCTGTTCCAAAAATAACTTTTATTTTATTTATTTATGTGTGTGTGTGTGTGTATATATATATTATTTATTTATTTATTTATTTTTTGAGACAGAGTCTCACTTTGTCGCCCTCAGTAGAGTACGTGGTGTCACAGATCACAGCAACCTTTAACTCATGGGCTTAAGCGATTCTCTTGCCTCAGCCTCTCAAGTAGCTGGGACTATTGGTACCTGCCACAATGCCTATCTATTTTTTTTTTGTTGTAGTTGTCATTGTTTAGCTGGCCTGACCTGGGTTTGAACCCATAGCACCAGTGTATGTGGCTGGCACCCTAAACGCTGAGCTATGGGCGCTGAACCTGAAAAGAACTTTAAGTGTGATGTTGGAATTCTGTAATTATCACAGTGCCAGCTTCATACCACTTTTGATTTTTTGGTCTCCCTCTCTTTTTTTTCTTGAGACGGAGTCTCAAGCTGTCACCCTGGGTAGAGTGCTATGGTATCACAGCTCACAGTAACCTCTAACTCTTTGGGCTTAAGTGATTCTCTTGCCTCAGCCTCCCAAGTACCTGGGGCTATAGGCACCTGTCACAACGCCTGGTTTTTTGTTTTTTGTTTTTTTTTTTTTTTGGTTGTAGTTATCATCATTATTGTTTGGTGGTGGCGGGCCCAGGCTGGATTCGAACTCACCAGGTCCAGTGTATGTGGCTGGCGGCCCTAGCCGCTTGAGCTATAGGCACCAAACCGTTTGGTCTGTATTAAACACTTTTACTTAAAGAGGATGTGGTGGTCTAAGTAGGATTAACTGACATTTATGCTTGAGAAGAGAAATAGCATGCTTTCCTTTTACTCCTAAAGAACCTTAATTCAAGTTACTGCTTGTAGCGTTTTTGGCATAACAAAACTACCTATGTGAAAATTCTAACATTTTCTGAGTTTTTGTGACTAGTGTGCTTAAGAGAGCATACTTAAATATGTATAGTTAGGCTTTCTAAGGCAGACTTTCTTTTGCCTTAAAGAAAGTAATTAATTGTAGCTCACTGGTTTGTTAGTGATTGCTAACTAATATTTTGCTATGTGCTTTGTAGGAAACTGAGGCCGAGACAGATTTCAAATAACTTATTCTAGGTTATGTACATAGTAAATGACAGGGGAGTATCTGTATGATTCTGGAGCCTGTATTCTTTCTGTTCTGTCAGTGCCTTCTTTTTGTATATAATTTAAGTAAACTTTTTATTTTTCAGGTTAAAAGGACAACCCTAGTGGATAGTAGAACATCTGTTACTGATGTGAAATTTGCTCCAAAGCATATGGGTCTTATGTTAGCAACCTGTTCAGCAGATGGCATAGTAAGAATATATGAAGCGCCAGATGTTATGAATCTCAGCCAGTGGTCTCTGCAGCATGAGATCTCATGTAAGCTAAGCTGTAGTTGTATTTCTTGGAACCCTTCAAGGTAAGCTTATACACCAAACCTGTGCTAATAGGTAAAATGAACTAGTAATTTATTCATTTATTTATTTATTTTATTTTTTGAGACAGAGCCTCAAGCTGTCCCCCGGGTAGAGTGCTGGGGCATCACAGCTCACAGCAACATCCAACTCCTGGGCTCAAGCGAGTCTCCTGCCTCCACCTCCCAAGTAGCTGGGACCACAGGCGCCCACCACAACACCCGGCTATTTTTTGGTTGCAGCCGTCATCGTTGTTTGGCAGGTCCAGGCTGGATTCGAACCCGCCACCTTAGGTGTATGTGGCTGGCACCTTAGCTACTTGAGCCACAGGCACTGAGCCCATTTATTTATTTTTAAGAGACAAAATCTCACTTTGTCACCTTCGGTAGAGTGTTGTTGCATCACAGCTCACAGCAGCTTCCAGCTCTTGGGCTTAGGTGATTCTCTTGCCTCAGCCTCCTGGAGTAGCTGGGACTGCAGGCGCCTGCCACAATGCCTGGCTTTTTTTGTTGTTGTTGTTGCAGTTTGCCTGGGGTCAGGTTTGAACCTGCCACCCTTGTTATATGGAGCTGGCACCCTACTCACTGAGCCATAGGCACTGCCCTGAACTAGTCATTTTTTTTTTTTTTTGCTGGGGCTGGGTTTGAACCCACCACCTCTGGCATATGGGGTTGGTGCCCTACCCTTTTGAGCCACAGGCACCGCCCACTGAACTAGTAATTTTTAAGCCAAAAATTTGATGGTTTATTTTTTGAAAAATGCTTTCCTTAATCAGGTATCTTATGTAGAGTATAAATTATTTTTTTCTCATCCAGATATGTCTCTTATACCCATATTTCCACTCCACAGAAGAAGCCAACCTTTAAATATTTTGGTGTGAATCTTCTGGTCATTTTCTATGCATATACAAATAAATATTTAATGAATTCATAAATATATATTCAAATATACAAAGATGTTTACTAATGTAGGTAGATAGGATACAGGCATATATAAACCCATACATTTTTCTTTTCTTTTATTATTTTTTAAATTTCACATTAAGAGTATGTACAATTAGGTTACATCGTTTGTTAGGTAAAGTCCAACTTGTAGTTGAGCCCTTCATCCAGGAGGTGTGCCATGTACACCTACATTGTGTCCGTCAGGTGACAACTTATCAAACCCCCTCCCTTCTCCCTTCTACCCCCTTCTTCTTTTTTGTTATTTTTTGAGACAGAGTCTCACTTTATCACTTTCTATAGTGTGTGGCGTCACAGCTCATAGCAACCTCCAACTCGTGGGCTTAGGAGATTCTCTTGTCTTAGCCTCCTGAGTAGCTGGGACCACAGGCACCCACTGCAATGCCTGGCTATTTTGTTGTTGTTGTTGCAGTTTGGCTGGGGTGGGGTTTAAACCCGCCACCCTCAGTATATGAGGCCGGCACTCTACCCACTGAGCCACAGGCCCCACCCTCTACGCCCTTCTTGAATTTGTGTTTTTCTCACCTGTGGACTTGTAGTTGTTCATCTACTGGTTTCATATTAGAATTGAGTACATTGGATGCTTGCTTTTCCATTCGTATAATCCTTAGGAGGATATTCTCCAAATCTATTCCTGGTAAATACAAAAGATGTATAGTTTTCATCTTTCTTTAAGGGTAAATCGTATCCCATGGTATACATTTACCAAAGTTTATTAATCCATTTGTAAGTTGATGGGCACTTGGGTTGTTTCCACATCTTGTCGATTATAAATTTAGCTGCGATAAATAATATAGTACAAACATCCTTATGATAAGAGATTTTATTTTTTTCTGCTTAGTTGCCTAGTAACAGGATTTCAGGACCAAAAGGAAAGTCTACTTTTAGCTCTTTGAGGATTCTCTCTCTCTCTCTTTTTTTTTTTTTTAAGAGACAAGAGTGTCACTTTGTTGCCCTTGGTAGAGTACGGTGCTGTCACAGCTCACAGCAAACTCCAGCTCTTGGGGTTAGGCGATTCTCTTGCCTCAGCCTCCTATCTGGGACTACAGGCGCCTACCACAATGCTCAGCTATTTTTTTTGTTGCAGTTTGATTGAGGCTGGGTTTGAATGTGCCACCCTCAGTACGTGGAGCCAGCTCCCTACTCACTGAGCCACAGGTGCTACCTACCCCCCCCCCCTTTTTTTTTTTTTTTTGAGACAGTCTTACTTTGTTGCCTTCAGTAGCATGCTGTGGTGTCACAGCTCACAGTAACCTCAAACTCTTGGGCTTAAGCAATTCTCTTCCCTCAGCCTCCTCCGTAGCTAAGACTACAGGCGCCCGCCACAGCACCCGGCTCTTTTTTTGCAGTTTGGCTGGGGCAGAGTTCAAACCTGCCACCTTCAATATATGGGGCTGATGCCCTACCCATTAAGCCACAGGCGCTCCCGTGCATGTGGACATTTAATACAAGTAAATTTCTCTTTTAGGACTGCCCCACAGGTGTTTTGTTTTTTTTTTTGGAGACAGAGCCCCAAGGTCTCACCCTGGGTAGAGTGCCATGGCATGACAGCTCACAGCAACCACCAATTCCTGGGCTTATGTGATTGTTTTGCCTCAGCCTCCCAAGTAGCTGGGACTACAGGCACCTGCCACAATGCCTGGCTTTTTTTGGTTGTTACTGTCATTGTTTGGCAGGCCTGGGTTGGATTTGAAGCCGCCAGCTCTGGTGTGGCTGACACCTTAGCCACTTGAGCTACAGGTGCCAAGCCTGCCCCACAGATTTTGGTAGCTATGGCTCCATTGTCTTCTTTTATTATTTATTTATTTATTTAGAGACAGAGTCTCACTTTGTCTCCCTCAGTGGAGTTCTGTGGCGTCATAGCTCACAGCAACCTCAAACTTTTGGGCTCAGCCATTCTTTTGCCTCAGCCTCCCAAATAGCTGGGACTACAGGCATTCACCATGACGCCCTGCTACTTTTGGCAGTGGGGTCTTGCCGGAGCTCAGGCTGGTCTCAGACTCCTGCGCTTAGGCAATCTCCCTGTCTTGGCTTCTCAGAGTACTGTGATTATGGGTGTGAGCCACTAAGCCTGGCCTTAAATATTTTGTCTCTTGGCTATAAGTTGATTGTAAAAATTAAGTAGCAGCTGGATATGCAAATATAATTTATTTCATGAAGACTTTGTGGTTTATGCAGAATAAATGTGGTATTGCCTTCTGACAGATTCTTTGTCAAATGTTGTCTTTAGATGTTTTTCTGATTTGGGTCGTGTATTTTTTCCACGTGGGGTAGATGGCATACTCTGAATTCTAGCATAGCCGATAATATTTTAACTTTACCCCATTCATGGGTGGGGAACCTGTGGCCTTCTGATTTCAAGATTGTTCTTTTTTAAGGAGGTAAGAAAAGCTTCATCTTTCTTGTTGTACCTCTTTTTTTTTCTTTGAGATAGAGTATGTTACCCTTGGTAGAGTGCTATGGCTTCATAGCTCACAGCAACCTCAAACTCTTGGGCTTAAAGAGATTCTCTTGCCTCAGTCTCCCAAGTAGCTGGGACTACAGGTGTCTGCCATAGCCCCCGGCTATTTTTTTGTTGTAGTCGTTGTTGTTTAGCAGGCCCAGGCTGGGTTCAAATCCTCCAGCCCTGGTGTGTGTCATTGGTGCCCTAACCACTGAGCTCTGGGCCTGTTGCTCCCCTTTTAATGAAAGGATTCACTGTGTAAAGTTAGGATGTAGTCAATAGGCTGTACTTGAGGATCAGAGAGACCACAACTTCCTTTAAGGTCCAGGTGTCCCACTCTTGCTACAGTTTTATTCTCTGCTTTTTTAACTTGAGGTTTTGTTAATGGGGAAGACTGAAGTCATTCAGATCCTGGTCGTTTTGTAGGTCGGTTGTACTTTCTGGAAGTTCTAGATTTTGTCTTATTACTTTGAGCTCTGTTGCAAATGTATTCTGATTTTCAGTGTGTTATTTGATGTGTTTTATGATGGGTTCTGCTAGTGGAAATGAATTTTATTTACCAGTCTTTCTTTTATTGTTAGAGTGCTTTTTGTGTCTTATTTGAGCAATTTATCTACACCTGGAGGTTGTCAGGTGTATTGTGAAATATTTTTAGTTTTGCCTTTTAGATACAGGTTATTGAACCTCCTGGAATTGCTTGATATGTTTTGAGATAGAGGAATTCTAAGGTTTAACCAGGATATTTGTAGGTTTGAGGTTCACTTTGTGTCCTGCGGCTCTCCTGAAGGTACTCCCGCTGCAGATTTTCATGTCTCATTCCAGATGTGCTCCTTTCCTATCACACCCTCATCCCCATGTGCTTATTGGCTAATAGCTTGTATTCTATTGATACTGCTTTTTTCTTTCTTTTTTTTAGAGACAGAGTCTCACTTTGTCGCCCTCAGTAGAGTGCTGTGGCATTACAGCTCATAGCAACCTCCAACTCCTAGGCTTAGGCTCTTGCCTCAGCTTCCCAAGTAGCTGGGACTACAGGTGCCCACCACAACACCTGGCTATTTTTTGTTGCAGTTTGACTGGGGCCAGGTTTGAACCCTCTACTCTTGGTATATGGGGCTGGTGCCCTACAAGCCACGGGCACTGCTTTTTTTTTTTTTGAGATAGTCTTACTTGGTCACTCTGGTAGAGTGCCATGGGGTCTTAGCTCACAGCAACCTCAAACTGTTGGGCTCAAGTGATCCTCTTGCCTCAGCCTCCCAAGTAGCTGGGACTACAGGTGCCTGCCAGAATGCCTGCCTATTTTTTTAGAGATGGGTCTTGCTTTGGCTCTAGCTGGTCTTGAACCTGTGAGCTTAGGCGATCCACCCGCTTCAGCCTCCCAAGTGCTAGGATTATAGGCATAAGCCACTGCGCCCTGCCTTGGTATTTTTTTTTGAAAGGTTTTTTTTTTCTTACATTGGGGAAAATTTCAGATACACCAAAAGTGAGTAACAGAAATACAGTGGACAGACTGTCACATATCCATCACCCAGTTATAATAACCCAGAGCTACTCATATTTTTTCTATATATACTTCCCTCCTCCTCCTTCTTCTTCAAAAAAA